GGAGGAAAACTTCAATCGCATAACTGAAATGCTGCGTTCGTTTGGGGAAGGATCTAATAATACCTTCCGCAATATTGAACAAGGAGAAAAATCGCGGAACCACCAGGATGACAACCTGCATGAGGCTACAGAAGGAATTCGAATGGTGTGCTCGTCAAAAATGGCGAAACTGGAATTTCCAAGGTACACTGGCGATGATCCTACTGAATGGTTCAACCGTGTGCACCAGTTCTTTGAATTCCAAGCCATCCCTGAAGCTCAGAAGGTATCCTTAGCATCTTATCACTTGGAGGGTGAGGCAAATCAATGGTGGCAGTGGCTCCGGAGAACATACAAAAACGAAGGCAGAATACTATCATGGGAGAGCTTTGAAGACGAGCTATGGGCTCGGTTTGGACCGTCGAATTGCCAGGACTTTGATGAGGCCCTCTCACGGATCCGACAAGTGGGTTCTTTGAGGGAATACCAACGGGAGTTCGAGAGGCTTGGGAATCAAGTCAGAGGATGGACACAGAAGGCCCTTGTTGGGACCTTCATGGGTGGTCTAAAAACTGAAATTTCTGATGGGATACGTATGTTCAGACCACAAACATTGAAAGATGCCATTAGTTTAGCTAGAATGCGAGATGATCAACTCACAAGGCAGAGGAGGTACATACGACCATCACCACCAACGCGACCATCACTTGCTCTTCCGTCAACAGTTCGTGGGGCTTCCACCACACCCGCTGGACCAGTTCGAAGGCTGACATGGGATGAGATGCAGCAACGCCGGGCACAAGGATTATGTTTTCATTGTAATGAGAGGTTCACAACAGGGCATAGATGTCAAAGACCTCAATTGTTAATGATAGAAGGTTACGACGATGCAGGAAAAGTATTATGCGAGGAGGTTACTGACCCACAGCAGCAAGAAGACTCCAATGGAATGCTATTCGAAAATGAACCGGAGCCAGAAATAACGCTCCATGCGTTAACTGGATGGGCAGCGCCTAGGACCATGAGAATGACCGCCAAAATGGGTCCTCATGAAGCTATCGTACTGATCGACAGTAGGTCGACCCACAACTTTATTAATGATCGTTTGGCCAGCATGTTGAAATTACCCATGGTAACCACTGAAACTTTTATCGTTAGGGTGGCCAATGGAGAAATACTACAGTGTCATGGACGCTTTGACAAAGTCTTGGTGGAGCTGCAAGGCACGAGATTTCATCTCACTCTTTTTTCACTACCTCTATCGGGCCTTGATCTGGTCTTGGGGATTCAATGGCTGGAAATGCTAGGATCTGTGGTGTGTAACTGGAAAGAATTAACCATGGATTTTGTGTGGAAAAATCAGGCATGCCGGCTACAGGGAATGGATGTACAAGTTATACAGGAGGCTTCGTTAAAAGAAATTTCGAAGGAATTCCGCCAGGGCCACCCAGTTTTTACGGTGTGCTTGCAACCTGAATCAAAACCCCCTTCACCAGACATGACACCTAAGGAAATGCAGCTTAGCTTGAAAACTATGCTGGAAGAATATGAAGATGTGTTCAAGGAACCATCCAGCTTGCCACCTATACGCGAGATCGATCATTGCATCCAACTTAAGGAGGGTACCGAATCAATCAATGTAAGGCCATACAGATATGCCCATTTCCAGAAGGAAGAGATTGAGAAACAAGTCCACGAGATGCTACACTCAGGGCTCATCCGTCCTAGTACAAGCC